CATAGCCTGGCACTCACCCTGGGATGTTGGGGACCCAGGGTCAAGTCCCTGCTCAGAATCAGGCAAAACAAAGCTGGGTCTCCCACTTTGCAAGTGAGTGCCCTAACCACTGGAGTGGGTGTCTCTCTCAAAAAAGATTCAGATGGTCTCATTTTTGGTCTGATGTGGAATGAAAAATTCTGAAACATCAAATTATTTTGCAAAATGGAAAATTCTTTTTTTGCCAAAATGTTTACATTTTCTGCCAGAAAAGCCAAAAGAAGAGATTTCATTTCAGGTTGGTTTGACTGAATGGAAATATGTTGGTTTGTTGGACCAACATAAAATGTTTTGTTTTGAGTGAGTTCAACATTAAACTGTATTTTTCTATGGTGACACATTGCCTCATGGGAATTACAGTCTGGATGCTTGATGCCCATTCCCTATGGGCCAGGCTGCTTGGCTGGACTACATCTCCTGTAACAATGCAGTCTCCACTCTGACCGAGTGTCAGGGGCATACCTGTAGGTGCATCATGGCAGTAGTAGTCCAGCTAGGGATCCTGGCCCATAGAGGAGAATGGAGGCATCAGGAATGTGAACTACAACTTCCAGGAAGCCAAGTGCTGCCATAGGGAACTGTAGTTTTATGTTGAAAAGGCTCAAAATGAAAGGTTTCAATTTTTAAAACCTTTTTGAATGTTTCATTCAGTGAATTCTTCTTATATGTCTATTTGCCATCCCAATTAAGGATGAAAACAATAGTTGAACTATCAGGATTTCCTGCAGGATGGAAGTTCAGATTTGGACTCAGCTCCTCATCCAGGCTATTCCTCCCTAACTCACATGGCCAGGCAGCTCTACTGCCTGAGTGTGAGGATAGCCAGGGCCTGGCCTCCTCCCTGCCCACTCTGGGAGGCTGCAGTACCTGTGCTTCCCAGAGTACAGAGCCTGCAATTCTGCCTAACCCTTGGCACAGGCTTCACAAGGGAGGAGAGTCCTTCTCCTTCCCCCCACAGCACAGGCACATCATGGGCCAGGCATAATCTAGCCCAGAAGCATAGAGAAAAATAGTTTGTCCCTCTAATAAGGTGAATGTATTATTAGACCCAGTTTTTCCCTATCCATGTGCAATACCAAGACAAGCTTGAAATTACAGTCCATATACTCATGTTCCAAACAGCTACAGGGAAAAGAGCATTTGCATAATTCAACAGAGTTATTTTCATAATAAATAAAACATAGATTGTTTAGCACAGAAGAGGGGGATCTGAAGAGAGGAATGCAAGAAGCACCGATTCAACTGAGAGAGGACAGGGAGGAGCACAAGGAAGTTAGTCTAAATAATGCTGCCGTTCCTACTAAAGACAGCAGATTTTTCAAACAAACTTTAAATCTTCCCACAACAACTCCCACGTTTCTCCACAACAGGTGAAAATATTTTAGTGTAACCATCTTTATACCATGTGTAACGGGGTTGGTACCCACCTCTCACGAGTCCCCCCTTTCTCTGGCGGATATGCCTGCAAACAATTCTTTTCCAGGGGCAGCCCCTACCTCTTGCGGGCAGCCCCCTTCTGTTGGTTGTGAGCCTGCTTTTGTTGTTTTGGTCTTACATCAGTGTGGCACCCATCTCTTTTGAGCACCCCCCAGCCGACGGTTCTCTCGGTGGGTCTTCAGCAACTCAGCCTTCTGGCAGAGCTGCAAACACTGTCCCTCCTTTTTGGGTTCTTATCACAGCCCTGGTATGGGGCCGTAGCTCTTAGGTTTGTTCCCAGAGACACTGCCTTTTTCAACCACCCGTCTGGGGCCAATCTTAGTAGCGTCAGCTGGCATCCTCTTCAGCAGCCCTCCCAGGGCTCAGTCTGCAACCAGACCAGCACAGCCCATCTCGGTACCCTCATCTGGTCTGGCCATGTTCTGTGGTCAGTCCCCCATGCTCTGCCTGCCTTCACTGACCTTTCGAAGGTCTTGCTGCTCATCTAGCCAGCCAGGCACCCAGTGCCCCCTCATCGAGCTCCACACAGGAACTGAAAGCTCTGCTCCTTGCTTTTTATCTGGCCCTTCTGGCCCCTTAGTGGTTACTCCAGCAGCCCCTCTGATTGGCTGCTCCTCTGTAGCCACTCTAGGCTGCCTGGAGGACTTCTCCCTGCTCTATTCTGGGACAGGGTAAGGCAGGGCGGTGAGGCCTCCAGACCTAGTCCACTCTGACCCACCATGCTATGCATCATTTCCATAAATGAACTGCAAATGGCAAAAAGGGTCCACATTAGACTCTTTAAAACAAATACTACTGGTATAAATCCTGAATATTTCCTCTTAACTACATGTGGAATTGTTTTAGACTCAGGCTCTGCTTTATGTCAGAATATATTAGATTCAGACCCTAGATTCAGGAGTCCAAAGTTTAGTGTTGCTCTGTGCAAGTGCATGTTTTTAAAGAACATTTTAGTTTATTTTATCGAATTGATGAGGAGTGGAGTAGTGATGTTTTATTATGTAGTTTGGAAATGAGAAATTATGAACAATAAATGAGAACAATGGTGCTAATGATAGTAATTATGCTTATGTATAATCTTTCATCTGATGTTCTCAAATTACTTTATAAATAAGAATTTGTGAAACTTCAAAAACACTCTTATGAAGTAGGTAGGTGGTTATCATCCCTATTTTACTAATGCATAGAGGCACAGAAAGCTTAACTGGATTATCCAAGGTCACTGTTAGTCAGTGTCAGAGCTGTGAATAGTCTAGAGAGTCATGACTCCCCGTCCCCTGCTTTAACCACAGGAGAATATTCCCTACATAAAACTTTAGAACAAGCAACATTATCAAAAAACTGCCAGCTCTCTCTTTTTATCCACCCCATAAAAAACATATGCTAAAGAATATAGCACTACTTTGAGATTGAATATTATTTACTTTATATTTGTATTCCACTAATCATCATTTCCTTTTATTCATTGTCAGGTCACAATGCTCATTTGCCCCCATGCATGCTTCAAAGCACAGAGTATGAAATTATTGGACATTCTATAGTTTTTTTTTCTTGTTTTTTTATTTTAAAAAATGTTTGATGCTGTGCAATAGCATCTTCATAAATAGGAAGCTTGACAAAGCATTTAGGTCAGTGGAAGTTGTGTAGCAAAGTCCTATTCAAGTCTGAAAATGTAGGAGCTAGTATTCACGTGCTCAGTGTCAGGAAGTCAATATTCCTTTCCATAATCCTCTGTTATGTTACTGAATCATTTTCATGAACTTCAATATATCCTATCTGAACTGTAGACCATGTCTTGCCCTGCACGCTCTTAGCAAAATCTTTAGTTTTGAATCCAAATGGTAGGTTTTTTTCAGGTTCATTAAAAGCACATGATCAACTTGAAAAAAAAAATCTCATTTCTTTCTGAAAGCTTTATATCTACTATACTTACAAGTAGCACACAAGATTTCTATGACTGGAAGAAGTTATTGGGAAAATATTTTAATTTCTTTCAGTTTCTTTCTACATTTGACAGAACTTTGTGTATTGTCAGTTTCACTCTTTCCTTGCATAGTCAGCCATGCTCTGATTTCTGCAAAAACATAGGCATGTGCTTACCTTTCCACATATGAGTCCTCTCATTGAGTTCAATGGATTATTCACATGCATAAAGTCAACCGTGTGCCCAAATGTCTGCAGAATCTGGCCTTTGTTGGTCAGTGTCTCCTTTGCATATATATGTCAAAAGGGGAATAGAATATTATTTATTTTTAAAGTTTTTAAAATCAGGACACATTATTTAAAAGCTATGCTATCAGAAACAGTAATAATTTTAAATTTATCAGTTTCAGAAGAGTCAAGTTGACAGTGTCTAAGTAACTGAGTTGAGAGTTTTCACCCTTTTACAGTATCTTATATGTAATAGAGATATTTTGGTTTCTGCTTTCTATCAGGAAATAATTTTGTAACTTATGATGCTGTGTCTGAGACACACCACAAGGAAAACAGCAGAACTGTTCCACCACTAGAGTGCAGTTCATGTATAAAGACATACTCTTCTCTTTCTTCACTTTCAAGGTTTTGAGATAAGCACTTTAATGGCTGCTGAGCAAGAAGAAGGACAATAACTCCGATTTTTTCCTTTTACCACAGTGTGCTATATTCGAGAGAGCTTTGAAAACCTACTTGTGTATTTATCTTTCAAAACCTCTTCAAACTTCTAAGTCTACAAAGAGCTTAATTAAGTCACAATAGCCTTCAGTACTTATTCTTTCTTAGACCCTCATTATTAAAGTAGAAATGTTAAAGTGACATCTCAGAGTGCTCTCCTTATTCTTTTCTCTTCACAGCAACTCCAGTTCTGGAAAGCACTCAACCACAATCTTAACTTTAAGCACCTGTCATCTAATCTAAAGTAAATGGGAAAACTCATATATTTAACATTAAATACGTGCACATGCGTTTGCAGTCTTGGAGTATAGGTCAATCCAGTAAATTACTTGTAATCTCCTCCTCACTTCTTTTCTTTCTTCACTCCAGAGTGTCAAACACAGTATGACTTTTTGAGCTCTGGTTTTAGTTTGTTGTAACTTGAGAAACCCTTGTCCAATTCACTACAAGTTTGGTAGAAAATGTCTGCCTCTACCCCAGATGTCATCTACCAGTTTTGGGGTGATATTTCACACATGTTGCCAGGCAGTTGAACTGCAGCAGCCCACTATGGCATATCTACACTTCAAGCTCGGGATGTGATTTCCAGTTCAAGGAGACATACTTCCACTTGCTCTATTTGATCTAGTACACTAAAAATAAAGTTTAGCCTCAGCAAGGCAAGTGGCAGGACAGGCTAGCTGCCCCCAAGTACATGACACGTGCTGCACAAGGGATATGCCTGACAGTTTACTTTGCTTTCAGGATATTCCTGGAGCACAGCAACTCAATTCTGCTCCTTGTTTGGGGCATATTGTAAAATGACAGTCCAGCCCAAAACAAAGTCTTTCTATTTATAAAGCACTGATCCTGTGTTGTCTTCTTTTATACAGATCACGTTGTATGTGAAGAGGAGTTCAAATATGCTATGCTAGCTTTAAACTGTATCTGCCCAGCTACTTCTACGCTAATCACCCTGCTGGTTCATACCTCTAGAGGACAGTAAGTACACCATCCTTTAAAAAAACCGAGACTGATATCAGATCTACTTTGGAACACAAGGGAAGAGTCTATCCCAAGACAGCACTGTTCAACCTCACTGAATTCAATGGCTCTATTTATATTACATTACAGATGTGGGGAAATAGTGAACATTTACTCCACAGTATAGTTTTGGTACACATACATTGAAATCCTGCTTACTGTACTCTTCCTGACAATAAGTCCTGCAGGATTTAGTCCCCAGTGCTTATATTTTTAAGAAGGAAACAGAGTTATAAGTTAAGGGGTGGCTGGTGGAACATAGCCACAACCTCCCATTAGAAACAGTGCAGGATTACACTGCATCAGTGAATCACAGAAGCCCAGTCAGAGCTGTGGGAGGGTTTGTGGCCTAGATTTTTCCAAAGTGGCCTTTATTTTTGTGAGCTCAACTTTATTCACCAATTCATCTGATTTTCAGAAGTGAAAGACACCCATGACTCCAACTGTTGTCAATGTGACATGTGG